ATAAAGGGGAGGAGAGTAATTTATGTGATTTTTAAAAAGATTTTTTAATTGTGGTATTTTAATTTAGTATTTTTTATATAAAACTACAAATATTTAAGAACTTTGCTGCTATACTCGTAGTTCACTTTATTTTTGTCTATATATATAAAGGGCTTATATAAAGGGCTTATATAAAGGGCTTATTTTTATCTGTATATCTCTTATATAAAGGGCTTATATAAAGGGCATATTTTTGTCTGTATATCTCTTGCGTAAAGGGCTTATATAAAGGGCTTATATAACGGGCTTATTTTTATCTGTATATCGCTTATATAGAGGGCTTATATAAAGGGCATATTTTTGTCCGTATATCTCTTATATAAAGGGCTTATTTTTGCCTGTATATCTTTTATATAAAGGGCTTATATAAAGGGCTTATATAAAGGGTTTATTTTTGTCTGTATATCTCTTATATAAAGGGCTTATTTTTGTCTGTATATCTCATATAAAGGTCTTCCAGAATTTTAAGTTTTTTCTTATTATTATCTTAATGAAACACTGAGGCATTTTTGACTAATATCATTCGAAACTGGGAATGTGGACATGAATGTTCCTTAAAATGTTCTGAGATTGAAATATTGTCCTTCAAATGAAAGGTAAGTTTTCTCATCGTCCTTGTTGTAAATTAATTCTTGAACTTGAAAGGATTAAATCTAAAATAAATGCACATAATACATCTAAATTATGTAGCCAAACATGTCTGAATGAAAGATATGCTAAATATATATATATATATATATATATATATATATATATATATATATATATATATATATATATATATATATATATATATATCAAGTATATGGTGCAGTTCAATTTACATTACATGAATCATTCATACAAAAAAACAGATCCTCATTAACTTCTATATCTGTTTTTTTTGTATGAATGATTAATGATTATATATATATATATATATATATATATATATATATATATATATATATATATATATATATATATGGTAGATTGCTTCAAACAGAAAACAGTAATCGGTACTTGAAGAGCAAGGACATAAGTCTATATGGGCAGCTAGAAAATGTCGAGTTTAAAATGAACGGGTTAAGCATTAACATTCTCCTGGTTTATATAAAGTGGGCAAATAAGACATTGATAGCAATGAATAGACTGAGATAGATAGATAGATAGATAGATAGATAGATAGATAGATAGATAGATAGATAATGAAGCTTTCTGGGAGACTGTCAACTCTCTAACAGAATTCTTCTAGTTGAGCTGAAAGGAACAATACATATATCATAGTAATATACAAGCCAACGACACGAGGCGCTAAAGAAATGAAATGATTTATAGCACATTGGATAACGCTAAGTCTCAATGCAAATCGCATGAAATCTCCATTATCTTTAGAAAATTAAATGTTAAAGTCAGAAAGTGACGATACAGTGAAAAAGTCTGCATGTACGAACAAGGACTGCGTTACGTGCGCATAGAAAAAACGGACATATTTGTTCATAGCAAATGACCAAATAACTGTCAAAACCTGGTTTTATGTGCATCCAAGACTGTCATGCGCATGGAGAAGCCCTGGATATAATATAAAGAACCAGATAATAATAACTGTTATTTTAGCGTTCCAAAGTTCACTGGAAGAATGTTCATGAGAGTCTCTTGTAATGATTGTATGGAAAGATATTGCTGGTTAAGAAGAGTTTCTGTGAGTGTGTACAAGGTATGTTCAGTAGGTGAGTGGTGTGTGTGAGTGAGAAAGTTGGCGCATGGTTTCAACGGTCGTGGATTCGTTTGGCAGTTGGAATTCTCACTGATTAGATGAAAAAGACCTTAGTTAATATAAGCGACTGTAGGCTCCAAATCGCTGCGCGGGAAGAATTATTCTTCACGTGCAGACGATCTGATTGGTTGGCATCGACCAATCAGCGAGCGAGCGAGCTTCGGGGAGACTTAAGAAAGCTTCTGTGATCCGTTTCTCACAAAAGTGCACGAAAATGACTACTTAAAAATAGAGCGATTACAAAATTGTCGCATTACTGCGATTTGTAAATTGCCTATTATAACGTAGTGGTGATTAATTAACCAATGAATGCTTGGCGTTACATGTGATTTGTATTTTTGTATTTTTGTATGTATGTATGTATGTTCGTGCGTAATAGATTCGCACATCCAGATCGACTGAAATTGCAAACCTTTATGCTGATGGAGTTAAGAGTAAATATAAATGGCTTGGAAGTGACCAAACATCCAAAATGGAACACCTTAAGACAAGCTGTGTTCACATCGGTGAACGAGATCATCTCAAGGAAAGAGAGACAACATGATATTCTTAAGATTATAAAAAAACGTAAACAATGCCAAGGAAGGGTACAGAATATAGAATATTAAACATAAACATTAGAAACAAATACAAAGGATGAATGGCTCAATGGAACGTGCGCAGACATAGAGAGACTGGACGTAATAGACGCAACAGGTATCCGAGAAATAAAATAAATAGGAAGAGAAAGATATGCTCCTCGTCAGGATGCATGAAATCTCAGGAACGTACGCTTATAATAATGAAAGAAAAACACTTCAAATTTAGAAGGAATACAGCGACATCTTCCACGGTTTTAGGTGAAAAACTTACAACATTATAAGAAAAAACATAAAAGGATCTAAAGTATTAAAGTCGAGATCAGCAGTGGCGAAGATGAACAGCAACAATACGAAAGAATCAGTTGGAATTGTAATAAGAATACAAAATGACCAGATAGTATTGTAAAAGAGATGTAATTGACCAGATATCATTGTAATAGAGATAAAAACGGACCAGATAGTGTTGTAAAAGAGATGTAAATGGACCAGATGAAATTATAATAGGGATAAAAAGGACCAGATACCTTTGTAAAAGAGATGTAAATGGACCAGATGTCATTGTAATAGGCATAAAAATAGACCAGATAGTATCGTAAAAGAGGTGTAAATGGACCAGATGTCATTGTAATAGGCATAAAAATATACAAGATAGTATCGTAAAAGAGATGTAAATGGACCAGATGTCATTGTAATAGGCATAAAAATGGACCAGATAGTATTCTAAAAGAGATGTAAATGGACCAGATGTCATTGTAATAGGGATAAAAAAGGACCAGATAGTATTGTAAGAGTGATGTAACTGGACCAGATGGCATTATAATAGGGATAAAAAGGGCCAGATAGCACTGTAAAAGAGATGTAAATGAGCCAGATGACATTGTAATATAGGTGCTGTCAGCCTGAGATTTTGGTATTGACAAGATTGAATTATAACGAATAACAATATATGGCGAAAGTTTAATAACTCCAAAGAAAACTACTTTTTTCTGGCTGATGCTAACCTCCAGGCAAGTGACTCTTTACGTCTTCTCGAACAAACGTTCACAGCTTATATGAAATGGAAAAACTACATTTAATTCATTGATAGATCAGCTGCTAACTTGCTTCATTGTGTCGTGCGAGACAATTTTTCTCTCAAGAATCTATCTTACATATCTATAATTCTAGCATTCTTCCACACTTAGAATATTTCTGCCACATATGGTCCGGTAGCCCAGCTATTTACCTTGTGCTCCTTGGTAAAATCTAAAAAAAAAATCAGCAATATTATTGGTCCTCATCTGGTGGCTCGGTTTCAGTCATCCCCCCCCCCCCGCCGTATGGTTGCCTTTTTCGTGTCTTTTCTATAAATACTTCCATGGTAAATGTTCGGATGAGATCTTCGCTGTGGTATTTAAACTTTTTCATTTCAAGCGCAGTTCTCGTCTGGCGTCGAGACCTCAATAATTAACATTTGAGCTGTTGAGATTTAGACGTAAACGTTACGCTAACAGTTTCTTTTCTCGCACCATCTCGCTTGTGGAACACCCTTCTAACTCCATGCTTTCCAGCCAACTTTAATTTGCAAAAAAATTAAATGCAATCGCCATCGTTTGTCCTCCTAATTACTCTTCGTGCTCATTATTAACCCTAGAAAACTAAAAATGGGTATATAGTACCCAGCGCAAATTTTCCTATTTTTAATTACAATTTTAAGTACCTGATTTTCTTACCTAAATAATATGTTTTTTCAGTTCCTATTAATGTTAACTCAAATTACAAAGTTTGAAGTGTCTGCATGTAAAATATTTCAAATAAAGATTTATATTTAATATTTTTTTTTTTTGATATTTTCAAAATCGGGTATGGTATACCCATGGTCAGTAGTGGTGTAACTTTAATTTATGGTTAGTGTTCTAGGGTTAACATATCTTTCCACAATTCTTCCACATCCAGTAAGCCCATGTGTTTTAGCAGCTTTGCTACCTTTCATGGAGTGATACTGGTTAAAAAAATGTACTAGACTGACGTCCAGATCTCACTAACTGATTCAGTTGGCTAGATGTAGACGTAGGCTTTACGTTAACAGTTACGTTAACCCTCTTCCGACCCCATTCTTCCAAGACAGCATTAATCTCCAAAAAGTTAAATACAATGCCAATCACTATCTACTCTCCTCCTGATTACTCTTATCTTTTCCCCATCATTAATAACATTTATTTTTCTGATTCTTCCACGCCCACTAACCACATGCGTGTCATAGTGGCTTTATTGCCTTGCATGTGTTTGAATTCGATTAAAAAGAAAAAAAAAAGATTAGATTATTGACATACAGATTGTATTTCTGTAGGACCAGGATGTGATTTACCTGGCTGGATTTTTTAACTGCCGACGCAATTTTATTGAAAGTTTTTTGTTTTTGTTTTGTTTTTTGTTTTTTTTACATAATCGATATTGTCTTTGATTGTTGGACTGGGCGTAAAATTAAATCTGCTGTTCATATAAAAAGTGAAACGCTGGAGGAATTTTATATAAATTGCTTACCATATTTCTCCCCAGGGTACGCAATCAGTTGGATACTGGTTATGGCTGACAGAGTGAACGTTAAATTCGTGACAAAGTTTCTGGTGGTGGAGAAGAGTGAAATGGGTGCTGTCACGGATGGGCGGGACATTTTCATTGTGGTTAGAAAGAATGCTTTGCTTTTTTAATTTTGCTAAATTCTTTGTTTTCAGTTTCAAGTTTGCCAGTTCTTTTAACTCATCACTTTTTCTATCGCAATCTCTTTAGATCTATCTATCTATCTATCTATCTATCTATCTATCTATCTATTTATCTATCTATCTATCAAGGCATTCATATCTATTTCAAGCTATTCATACCTACCTACCTACCTATCGCATTCTGTTAATATCTATCTATGCCAAGCCGTTCATATCTATCAGTCTACTTCAAGCTGTTGTTCAAATATATATATATATATATATATATATATATATATATATATATATATATATGTATACATATATATATATATATAGCTGTTCATGTCCATCTACCAATTTCAAGTTGTTCATATCTATCTTTTTTATTTCAAGTTGTTCAGATCTATCTCTCTATTTCAAGCTGATCATGTCTAGCTATCTATTTCAAGCTCATCTTGGTAATATCTATCTATCTCAACCTGTTCCTATCTATCTATTTATCGATCGATCGATTTATCTATTTCAAGCTGTTCATATCTATCTATCTATCAAGGCATTCATATCTATTTCAAGCTATTCATATCTACCTACCTACCTACCTACCTACCTATCGCATTCTGTTAATATTTATCTATCTATGCCAAGCCGTTCATATCTTTCAGTCTACTTCAAGCTGTTCAAATCTATATATATATATATATATATATATATATATATATATATATATATATAGCTGTTCATGTCTATCTACCAATTTCAAGTTGTTCATATCTATCTCTCGATTTCAAGCTGATCATGTCTAGCTATCTATTTCAAGCTCAACCTGTTAATATCTATCGCAACCTATTCATATCTATCTATCTATCTATCTATCTATCTATCTATCTATCTATCTAAGACATTCATATCTATTTCAAGCTATTCACATCTTCCTACCTACCTACCTACCTACCTATCGCATTCTGTTAATATCTATCTATCTATGCCAAGCCGTTCATATCTATCAGTCTACTTCAAGCTGTTCAAATCTTCTCTCTCTCTCTATATATATATATATATATATATAGAGAGAGAGAGAGAGAGCTGTTCATGTTCTATCTACCAATTTCAAGTTGTTCATATCTATCTTTTTATTTCAAGCTGTCCATATCTATCTATCGATTTCAAGCAGATCATGTCTAGCTATCTATTTCAAGCTCATCCTATTAATATCAATCTCAACCTGTTCATATCTATCTATCTAAGGCATTTATATCTATTTCAAGATATTCATACCTACCTATCGCATTCTTTTAATATCTATCAATCTATGCCAAGCCGTTCATATCTATCAGTCTACTTCAAGCTGTTCAAAATATATATATATATATATATATATATATATATATATATATATATAGCTGTTCATGTCTATCTACCAATTTCAAGTTGTTCAGATCTATCTCTCTATTTCAAGCTGATCATGTGTAGCTATCTATTTCAAGCTCATCCTATTAATATCTATCTATCTCAACCTGTTCCTATCTATATATCAATCGATCGATCTGTCTGTTTCAAGCTGTTCATATCTATATATATATCTATCAAATCTCGACCTGTTCATATCTATTTATCTATTTCAAGTCGACCCTATCTTTCTATGTATCTATCTATTTCAAGCTGTTCATATCTATCTATCTATATAAATCTGTTAATATCTATCTACTGTTACGTTAACCCCATATTTGTACCCTCACCTCAGATTTTATAAGTACATTTTCAGTACCTTTTGTATTTGCGACGAAACATATGAATCTTAACTTTTTTATTTCTTAAATATGCAGATTGTGAGATATATATTGTTTTTATACCCAGATGAGTCAGGGCCAGTTCTCGGAAAAGAACCCTCCCTTCTACCGCCATCTCCTACCTGGTCCGCTGTTTGACAGACAGGTGTGAATGATGTTAATCAGTTCCATAGTCGCTGGTCAAAACAAACGCTGCTTGACAGATAACTGTGGATGATATTAACAGGGTCCGTGAATGACGCATACCTTTTTTGGGGGCCAACACGTGACTCAAAATATAGCAGTTTTCGTTTCGCACGTGTTGAGATAACAACAACCACATATAGTTGCTGGCTATCAGAGGAGTCGGACGTCACCAAAAACCCGTCTTAGCTATTCGCCATTAGAAGAATTAGATGTCACCAAAAAGTAAAGGACCGACGCGAGATTGTAGATCAACATTGTCAACCCACGTCGGCTACATTCCCGTGATTTTTCTGTGTGTTCTCCTCACCATCAACACGGATTGGACGTCGCCAGCCAAGAATTCATGTTAGAATATTGTCAATCCCATCAATCCCATCCGTTACTTTCAAAGAAGTGTGTAAATATCCTTTGAACAAACTGTACCCCGATAATAGTCAATGTTGTTGTTTTGTTGATCGTTCATATAC